ACACCTACAAACTGGCAAGGACATCAACGTAGCATTACATTTGTGACCAGTGGTATGGAGACTAGTCCGGCCCTGTGGCATGCCAGGACACAAGGTACCGATCAGTCTGGCAAGTAGGTCTGACTACAACAACCCCAGCGTTTGGCACTGAGCCTGCATCATTTCACTTCCCCGATAAAGATGAACGAGAAAGCGGAGGATCAAAGTCTAAACAATTGTCTAAACAATTACGACATTCTCCCACTTGTCGTAATTTACCAGGTTGTAGGTTGCACGTCCTTCTAATCTCCTGATTTCCCTACCTCCTCAGTTCGCTCTTCAATTTGAATTTCAACTGACTCACCTGCCACGTCCTTTCATGAAGGCAAGTGAAACCGCTTGTGGAAGAGGACGTAGATGTTGTACAATTTTGCGTGTGAAGCCGAAAATACACCCGAAGAGGTGTCAAATTTCCACGCCAAAATGTGGTGCGATTTTTTAAGGATAGATTTGACAGACGTGGAGGATGACCTCAACTTAGACTTGACCTTGCCTGACGAATGCAATACAACTTAGAACTAGGACACCCGCCTTCCAAATCTAAACGTACCAGTCGGAGGCAGTTTGTCTCCCTTTATTTTCGTTCGCCCAATCATATGCAAGCAGCAATCCTGGTGGCCAGTTTGTCGAAGCTACCGCAAATCCCTGTGGGATGGATAAACATTGGGCAAGTACTTTACAATTCCTCTGAAATTAAGCAACTAAATATAACCATGAGTATAATAAGTCCAATTGCTCAACATACAACAATGAGACACGAGGCTTTCCCTTACATTGCTTCATCTTTTGAGTGAAGAGCTCTTTTAAACTTGATTAGCTGACTAATGGAATTGATGCATTTCAGCCATACTTTGCCGATCTGCTGAAATCAAACAACTCCTAGCCAAAGGTCGAACCCGAATTGCGCCATAAGCATGTGCACACGCACACACACACACACGCCAAACAAATGAAGTTGTGTGGAGATAAAGTGGGTGGTAGCAACCGTCTCTTCGAGCAAGGCGTGGTATGTCCGTTGGCTTGCACCATCTCTTATATGATATGTATTGACAGTTGTTTGTCTTCATCAGCTGACATTCCTTTGATGTCATTTCCCACTAGAAACAGAGACGGGTGAACATAATCGGTGCAGACCGTCTTTTTTTGGCGCAGGTACATTTAAGACCACCCTTAGAAGCAAGAATTTGTCTGGACTTTCATTCATTTACATTAATGCCAATGAATATTGTAGCGAAGGGAGAGAGTTTGAATTTACGTGGCCATGAGGACTTACGGAAGCAATACTGTGAAAAAGCCCTCCTGTCAAAAAACGTATGAACAGCGCCAAGTGCAAGAGCTTCCAATATTTGTGGATGCTCCAGGGGTATGACCACCGCAAGAGCGTTCCGAGTGTGGCTGGAGAACCAAGATGAAGGGAGATAGGCTGCCCTAGGATGAATCGTTTATTTATAGACAGAAGCTATCTTAGTAAAAAGATGCCCTCCATGCATTGGACAATGCATGTGTTTACTTGTAGCCAACTAATCACCATCCTCCAGGCCCAAACTCCGTCTTGAAATACTTTACTATATCTTAGAGCGAAGACCTGGCGGATTGTTTAGCCACACCAAGACAAAAACCACGACAAGGCACTCCTTGCTGCTAGCCGATTCCTGTCGGGTCCCCTTTATTTCCAATCTTTACTTCATTCAACCGCCTCAAATCCACCGAAGTGTCTCCACATTACACTGACATCTGCAAAAACAAAGTGAAACAAAATCAATTATTCTATTAGCCATTTAGTGAGTCAGCAAGGTGACGGAAGCAGAAGAGGCCGGCAAGCGTAGACGTAATCACGAACGTCACCGTAGATGGCAGCAGAACAGTTAATACTCCTCGTGGAACGGATATTCAGGATGCTTTTCAAAACTAAAAGAAATAAAGACATACCCAGGGAAAGGAAGCGAATGTACCTGCTCAAAGCGGCATGGGTCTACACGCAAGACACAACAAAGTCGGGTTACTGGAACAGCGATTTTAGCATGGTTTAGGACAGTGCTTTGATAAGCAGAAAGCGCACGTAGTGTGAATAAAGCAAGATTGGCATAACTTACATTGGGACCGCGAAAAGACGTTTGTTCAAACTGGTCTTGTTGAGCTTCTCCATTTCTGCATCGGTCAACTCAAAATCGAATACCTCGAAGGTACAAAGAGATGACAAGGGAACGTGGCATACCATAAGCATTTAGCAATCAATTGGTTCAGCAGTGCATTCTTTAAGAGAGGCTTACATCAAAGTTTGACTTGATGCGCTCGGGAGTGACACTTTTGGTGAGAACAATGAGGCCTCTTTGGAGACCATGGCGCAACAGCACCTGTGCAGGTGTCCTTTTGTGTTTGTGTGCGATTTCGACAACATTCTCCTCCTGTAGAAGCGGCTTCGCTTGGCCTCTGCGAGGAGCGTGAAAGGCAGCTTAGATTAAATCCCAGCAGACGAATGAATTGACGGTGCTGATATACGCGAACATACTTCATGAAACCAGGAGAACCGAAGGGTGCATAGGCCTCAACCTGGATGTTCTTGGAGTGACAAAATTCAATCAACTTCGTGTTGAGCCAGTGGATATTCACTTCGACCTGATTTACCGCCGGAGGAATTATGCATGATGCCAAAATGCGTTCAATTTGTCGTTTGTTGAAGTTAGACACACCAATTGATTTGACGAGTCCAGCAAATACCAATTCTTCCATGGCCTAAAAATTAGCGTTAGCATTCTTTCCACAAATCTACCTTCCATGTGTCCTCAAGTTTATGATTTTCGTATACAATGCAGCTAGGATTACTAATGTCGAATTTAAGACCTTCCTTGTGCTGGAAGGAAACTGGCCAGTGAATCAGGTAAAGATCCAGGTACTGGACCCCGAGATCTTTAATTGAACGCTCACACGTTTTGCGGACATCTCCAGGAGCATGCTTGTCACACCAAAGCTATATTCAGAACGTCAAATCTGAAGAATGCAGAAATACCTTTGAAGTAACAAAGATGTCTTCACGGTTAAGGTTGTGCTTCTTCATGGATGCTGCTATTGCAGTGCCAACTTCTGGTTCGTTGCGGTAGAACATGGCGCAGTCGATGTGGCGAAATCCAGCGCCGATGGCTACTTCAACCGCTTCAGTCACGACTTCTTTGGGAGCCTATAATTGACATACGATAGACAAAAGTAAATCCTGTTACATCGAAGGTCCCAAAACCAAGTTGCGGAATCCCATGAGCACTGTTAAGGGTAAGATTCGGAACTGAAGCCATCGAATAGGAACAACGAACCGCACGACGTGAGATGTTCAGCTGAACAAAGGCAATTAGGTCGTTGTTTAAGTCCTTTTGCACCATACAAACAACGATTGCTCACTGTCTTATGTTTGTCAAAAGGGCATTTTAAGTAAGAATAGGCTGGATAAAAAATTAACTTTGTTTAGGTGCTAAACTGCCCCGTAAGAGCCGTTTCCACTTCTACCATGTTGTTCCCAATTTCTCGGACATGCGAATCATTACTTTGAACCTTCTGTCTTGTCTATTAAAACAATTCGCGATCAGTTGTTTCTTTCTTTCATTCTTCTATTTTACCTGCAGACAGTGCTTGGATCAAGTCTGCAATAAGATGAATAGTGAATATATCCTGTTTCGGACATTACTTTCGTTAACAGAGTTAAATATGTAGTTTTTTAATGGTACAAATTTTCATCTTTGGTTTAGTCTGCTCATCCTAATAATAAGGCATAGGTGTGACGAAAACGCTCTTCCGTCTGTATTGCGTGCGGCTTACACGGTTACTTGACTGCTATCCAAATGCTCCATACTGACTTTAAGTCGATCTTGTGCATATTTTTTGTATCCGATGTTTAAAATGTAAAAAAAAAACCTTGATTCTGTTAAACCGTCTTCTTCACAAAGGTGTATAACGCCGCGCATTAATCCAAGTTAGCCTACGCAGTGGCCCCCTCAGTTGCTTTTTATCGTTCTATCTCTTCGCTAACCCCAACCGAATGCTTGATCTCCCTTTCCGATGAGATAGCGTTTTACAGCGAATTGATCAGTCCCCGCATTCATCTGCACAAATTCATGAGTACCCGGTCTTCTTTGCGAGAGCTTGTGTCTCACTCTACTGTAAATATGAAGGACTATTTTCAGTAGGAACTACATCAAACCAGGTACATTGACAGAGCAGTCGTGGCACTTATGCAACAGACACATCTACTGTCGAGTAAGCATGGTGTTTGGAGATGCCGACTCTAGACTTGTCGGTGCCTCCCTATTTGAAAGTCATTTACATGTAGGGTCGGTGTTTCCAGGCAGTTTCAAGGATGCTGCTACCTTGCTAGTAGCTTTGACGCCCCGCTGTCTCTACTTTGATTGTGTTAAGATACAATGCACATCCACTTCACTACAATACTCGCATTCATTAGATAACTTTTTATCCCATTTCCCCTTTTCTGTTCTTTTTCCCTCCCCTCTCCTCCCCTCTCTTCAAAGTTTTAAGTTTGTAATGAAGATTACAGTTTTTTTCAGTTTTCCGTCAGTGTTCATTGCTTGCTATTGTTTATGGGACGTGAAATGCTGCGTAATTAATCGTGAAATAAATGCATAGTTGCACCCTCGTTTTGCGCAAAAATAAGATGATGGAATTTTCATACGGAATAAACTGTAGTAAGGGAGAAAACGGACATGGTTCACGGAAGAAGAAACAGACAAAGCTAGAATAGGGGTCGGTCTTCATGGAAAAAGAAAGTTCCTCACGTTTGCTGGAATGCATAGCTCAACAGTTCATATCAGATGACAACCATCAACTATGGTCTGTGGTTCGCAGGAAACATACTGCTTTACTTTTGTTGGTATCACGTTTCAAATGTTGTCAAAGAGCCCGAGGTGGAGATGGTTGTGGGTAGCCCCACCGACATAAGTGAACAGATAGAACAGGCAATGGAACCGAATTGGCAGCTCCGCACGGCAAATGCAGTACCTTGTACGGATCGGTCAAGATGGTGTGAGTTGGAAGAAAAGGAGCTCGTTCACGCTGATTTTGAACTGAGAATGGAATGCCTTGTGGCGAATTCCAGCATCCATTGCGTCAATGTCGATGTTCTTTCCACTGACATGGAACAACGGGCCGTGCTCTGATCGATGCCAGATCCACGCATTCTCACCATTTTCACGAGAATCTTTCAACTAAGAGGGCAAATACCCCAACTAGTAACACCTCATCTTGGTAACCGAAATGAGAAACGCCAAGTAAAAGTCCGATCATTCTACCCATGAAAAATGGAACACAGATGGGGTAAAAAGGTCATCATTAGTAAAGTAATGGAGGAAGCAAAATCTATCAAACTGTAGATCTATCACTTAAAATGAACGAGATCAGTCGTCAGACGTCAAATAACTCATTGTGTTTGCCCCCATATCCACGATAACAGGTCGAAAACTGTCAAACTCTTGCCACTGAGTGGTTGTATTTGCAAACATGAGGCACCAATAGCGGTTCCAGTGCCAGTTAGCTGCATCAGTCGCCAAGGCAAATTAGCTCAACCCTAATAACACACTTCCCAGGAAGTTCTCTGTTTCACATAATAGAGCATGACAAAAGAAAGTTGGGAGTGGGAGATTAAACACCCACTGTATTAAACGTACTGCCGCAGTAATGGACAGATGACCCTCAGCAAGTAGCCGCTTCTGGACGAGTCAATTACGATAGGTCGATTGTCAGGTAAATTGAAGTTGTTTGACTCAAAGTTGTCTAAAGATGAGAGAGCAACGGATTTAAGTGAACACGAGCCACTGTCTTTGTCCTCGCACATGAAGGTAGGAACTAACCCCTTTTATGACTAATTTTAAGCTCAACCACGAACTAGCCTACTGAAAAGCACTTAAGTAGGAATAGCGCAGCATCCACACCATACAGAAAACGCTCAGTCGAAGGGATTATGGCAAATGTTGATGATTTCCAACCTCTGACACCTGGGAACACTTCTAGTGCTGCAGACGACTACAACCCCAAGGAAGAGTCCCAATGTTCCAAGTTTCGACTGGCTCCCCGTCTTCAAACGTGCAAGAGAGGTACCCACTCTTCCCCATTCCTTACATTAAGCAAGGGTGTAGGCTAGGGGTACTGATGGCCCCTCAAAGGCAAAGGCCAGTCTGCTGCTCTAGGAATCACTCGGACCCGTTGGGCAGACAGTCTCCGCTCTCCGGTAGCCATGCACCTGCGCACTGACTGAATCCCCTCAGCTTACTCGTTACGACGGTAACCAGGACATCCGCCCTGAGCTCCTCGTCTGTAGACTACCCGGGTTAGAGTTTGATAGGAATCATGCAACTAACGCACGTAGCACCTCCTGGATGTAACAAATGACGACTCAGTTTATAGCACCAAGTCTATATCATCTCATCACCGTCGGCAATTACGAAAGACGTCCAAACAGAGCAGGGACTTTTGTTTCACACCCTCAAAAAAGAGCACCACCGCCTCAGCAGTACCAAATGCAGTAGAGCGTTGCAAGTCAATTGGGTGCTTTCACTATCCGCCATATTCGACGTAATGCTGCGTATTGGTGCAGCACATTCCAAGCACTGTTAGCCTCGATGACTGACGTGCGCTGACGAACAGAGTATCTTGCCGGCAACAACACAACAGTGCACGCCGAAGATGCGTCCAATCAGTGGCAACAAAACATTTGAGTAACATGAGAGTCAGGTAGCCGATCACACGTCTGTCGGTGACGATAACGCGCAGAGCAGTTGTTAACGCAAAGGAATACCGAGGGCGTAGGTCGCCTGACAATCTGACGCACGTCACATCACGCCAGACGAGGTGTACGCACAACAGTGCTCTGATCATTGCCAGGTGAACAGTAAGCCTGATTTAAGAGTAATCAACATCGGCAAAATCAATCCACAACGAATTTTGGACATCAATAAAACGCTAGCAGAACGGATTCAACCTATTATTCTAGTAAAACTGACCATCGAGGCGTTTGCAAGTGCATGAGGCAGAACCCATACGCAATTGAGTTGCTGATCCCCGAAGCCAAACTGTTTCAGTGGACTCTACTGCGAACCCGTGAGCGTACAGTGTGACCTACTGTGCTGCTTCTATGCGCACAAGCACCGTCTCGTATCGTTGACGGGAGTGAGGTGACTAACTTCCGGCTCAATATTGAGAATCTAGCACTTCCATCGCCAAACAGTATTACTGAGATGAACAGACAACTCACATAACGTGTAACAAGAGTAGATTTCCCCAGACTCACCGCCGACAACACGTAGTTTGCGAGCATTAGAAGTGTTTCAATTTCAATGGAATTGACCGCTGCAGGAATCCCCCGAACCACGGTAGAGTTCGCCCCGTGGACACTTGAGCATCAACAGGAGGCCAATTAAAAGGCCCAGAAGGCTGAGGTGTAAACATTCCAAGCTCGGAGCAAGATACTCGTAGACAACAAGTAGTGTACTCAGACGAAAAGCGGGATACTTGACCATGATTACGCTTGAAAGGTACAACCGACTTCGATGACCCAAAAATGGTTATCGTCTACGACAGCCATTGCCAGCACGTATCCATGAAACATGCCAGAGCACGCCGCGACCACGAAAACCTAGTCAGGGTATGGCACCCACCACCTCAATGATTGAACTACTAACTCACAGGTGACCCACTTTGGTACGATGGTGACCGCAAACCGCACTCCTAGAAAGCCCGTGACTATAGAGCAGACACAACGTGTTTCACCGCACCACGTACGCAAATACTGATTATTTATTAGGAAAGTGGGGGAAAATTTCACATACGCACAAGCATGATCGCATGGGCCAAATTCACTTCTCCATCGCTGTTGTAGTACGGTGTTACATGCGTAAAGGAAAATGCAATCCTCAGCCTACAGGTAGACGAAAAAAACCGAGTTACTAGCCTGACTTAAAAGGCATCACAGCCTAGACGCTAGAGCTATTGGCCAAACTCACGTCTATATCCGCTAGACGGAGGTGGTGGACCACGTCTCGAATAGCCGCGGTCATAGTAGGGACGATCGTCATAAACACCGTATGGGGGAGGTGGCGGTGGAGGGGGTCCACCTCCCGAATAAGGACCATCGTAGCCGTAAGGCGGAGGCGGTGGTGGTGGAGGGCCCATGTACCGGTCGTAGGCGGGCATTGAGTCCGCATCGAAGTTGTTGGCATCGTAGTCGCTACGATGACCACGAGGAGGTGCCGACTACAGATTTGAAAACCTATAAGAAAATCGAAATACTACCTCTAGTGTCTCCATGATATCTTCGACGCAGGCGAAAACATTTTGCGGTTCACCGATTAGCTGAAGCACACGGTCCGTAGAACGAGGCGCAAACTCCTGGTAAATCTTGATTATTTGCATGCGGTGCTTTTCGCGTAGTTCTTTTATCTTGTCCCCGCTCTTACCAATCACCGAGCCAACCTGACTATGGTGAATGAGAATGCGAAGATCCAGGAGCTTAGCCGGATCAAGATCGTTTCCCTCATCGTCTTTTCGTCCCTCCAGTAGGCGCTGGTCAGCATTCTTTGCGGACAAAACATCCTGATAGAAAATGGCATTGTCATGAACATACGATCAAGCTCACCATTAGGACATCGGTTAGCTCTCTAAGGCAGCCACAGATGTTCGGCCTATCACCCTCCATATTGAAAACCCTGAAAGAAAAAATGAGGAATTTAGCAGAGGAAAGTGGCCATTAATAAGCTTAGTTAGGCGTACTGTACCGTTCTGGGCCCCTGCTATCAGGAATGTGAAGACGGACAGAATACTGCAGTGAGAATACATGTGCGCGGACACACACAATACAGATGTTAGCAAGTGAATACCATAGGTGAATACCATGAGAACACGGGTGGCATGGACATTTTCAGTGACAAACATGGCGTGACATGAGACGGAGATGAGCCGTGGGGTTCGAAATCAGTGGACAATCATCAACGGTGACAGTTGGACACGTTCGATAAGTGGTGACAGGTGAGTTCACGTTCATAAAATGGATAAAAATAAAATAGCCCTTTAGATCGAGGCACGACGTGACGTGTAGAGAATAAAAAAGATGACAGACATGGTACAATACCTGAGCTCGGAGATCTTTAATAGTCTCGCCGCCTTTGCCTATTATGGGCCCTGCCGCTCGACTTGGTATGAGAACGCGAAGAAGTTTGCTTGGGTCGTCACTGCGACGGTATTTGCTGGGCGGTCCATCATCAACAAAACCATTTCCCCGCTTCATCCTGGAAGAAGCTAGTAAGCGAAAACGAATGTGGCTTCGGCGCAGTCAAACAACTCTTAACGCTTATTCGCAACTGAAATGGCATTGTTCCCTCAAATCACTTTAGTTTACTAGTTAAAGTGGTTACTATATTTTTTTTCTATAAAACTGACAGGGCTTCGTTAAAGTGTATACGGTTTAAAAACACTTAGTAAGCAATATGATTCAAGGCATTCGTATGTGAAACAAGTGTTTATCCAGAAAAAATTTGCTGCCTTGCACCTATTTGCATGTTTAACTTATACAAGTATGAAAGCCGCAGTATTTTTTCAGAGCCACACTCTGGGATTTCCCTCATATGATCAATGAAGGGATAGTCGGGCTAAGTGAAACAATGACAGTTTATAAAGAAGTGCATGGTGCTGTTTCTAGCCAAGCTTTAAAGTTCTCCCCCTTGTAATCTCCTTCAGACAATAGCACAAAAGCTACTACACATATCACGAAAGCAATTATATAGCGTCCCGGGACTCCCTGAAGACGAAAGAGGACACAATACTCGTACAGAATACATGTATTTAGCACAAAGAAGGCGTCTGGGCTATTGGCATGGCCCAAAAGGCTAGCCCACCCAGCGAGGTACAAGGGGGCTAATTCAAAGTGCAAGAGTCGCGCCTCATCAATGCCGAGGGATTAACCGCTATCGTATTACAATTAAACATTGCCCATTGCACAGCAACACTTTGGCTCGATGACTACCCTTGAACATTTTTTACATGGATTATTAATCATGGTTTCTTGAAAAATATCCTTGCTGAGGTAAAAGTTCAACTTTTACTAAACGTTTCAGCTGGTTCTTATTTTACTACTAATTAGGCTTGAAAATATTTGACAGTTGGACTGCCTTATTAAAATTTTCTATTGCACTGAGAAAATACAGCTTAGATGCTACTAATTCCTTGTGAAAAAATTTTAATTAATTGGTTTCCAGAAGTTATTAAACATATGTGTTTCAAAAATCTACCACATAACCTTCAGTTTCCGTGATATATCTCTCATTACGCGCTTCGCTTCCACCGTTTTGGACTACCGTTTAGGGTGATCCATTTGGGGAACGGTAGATGTTTTTTAGTTTTTTACAAATATGCTAATTCCTTATGATAGGTGCGAGAGTTTTGAATAGTTTTTGCATTCTAGTGTAATAAGCACTTGAGTTTTCCCAAAGGTCTTGGCGATTCCAATGATTAGCAATAAAGTACAGTGCGACTACTGTCTGTTGCGCTTGATTTTAGTATAATTGTATCAACACCCGTCTACGAATTCAGGTGAAGCGTCCATGCCTTTTTAAAGTGCGAATTTTTTTTCCTTGCCTTGTTTAGTGTTGTTAAAGTCCACCTTTCATTTTGCTGTAATCCCTCTCCATTCACTTATTGCTTACAATGCTCTTCGATCATTCCGTTGTTCTTCGTCGTTTACTATCGAGCAATTCTCTTAAGAATACCCCATTTTAGAAGAGAACATTTTCAAAATGCATTCTGTTGGTTGTGATTTTTTGTGGTATTGTTCAACTTCTGTCATTCCTATTTAAGTGGTTTTTAAAGGAGGTCTTTAAGTAAATTCATTTTTGATGAAATTTGTCCTGTCTCTATTATAAGAACTTCGTTTTTTAGTTGATCCCATGGACAACAGCAGTTCAGCACTCCTCATTCCCCCTTCCCAACGACTCAATGGCGCAGACATCTACAACTGCAGTTACAAGAAACAGTTCCCCACCTCTCATCGCCTTGCCAGCGACTTCGAGAAAAATGAGGCTACTTTGGTAGCAGAGGGAGCCGCGCAGTCCACTCGTCTCTTCCGTAATAATATGAGGATGTTACAAAGGCGAAATATACGCAATAGCAAAGTCCTCCCCACCACCGCAGTCACGACTGTCGCTACCGCAGTAATGAAATCTGAAACTCCACGGTATGCGCTTATGAAAGTTTATGAAGAAGAGGAGGAAGAGGTGGTGGAGATGAAAAAGGAAGATGAGAGTGAAGACTTGATGGAACCTTCAGCCACGAACAATCGGTTGTCCCATGAGGCGTTCCTTCAGGTAAATCTTTTAAATAATTGCTTTCTCTTTAATCTGAGAGGTACAGTGGCCGTGACCCATCATCCTTTATTAATCCAGTGTTTAGGGTTTTAGTACTTTGTTTCCAATCGAACGGTAAGGATTGAAGTCCAACGTGGCGCGGACTGAAATAAACTTGTTGTCTTGTGAGGATTTTTCCCTAGTAACTTTATATATAGAGTCGTGGGAAGCCGTCGTTTGTGCTTTCTGTGATATCACGGAACGGGACTGTGTTTCAGGAATGCATATATGTCGGCACCAAGTGCAAACGGATTTTTTAAGGTTTAATTAAAAATTAGGGACATCATTTCATTTTTACTTGAGTGTTGCATAGTACTTCATTTTAAATTCAAGTGGGATCGAATTATCAACAAATTTGTACGTTCTTCGCCAGTGTCTCTACGACGGATCGGCCACTGTAGCTTGCGTAGATGCCTCATTGTTTTACTTAGAGCTATGCTCTTTGAAACCAGGAAAGCTATATTTAACCTCCTCTGGTTCTGGGCATTTCACATCTATCTTGGTGGTTTGAACCCAGTCGATCTGCTTGCGGTACGATTTGGCACAGTTATCATAACCTGATGAAAAAGCATGTCACATAGTTGTTAGATTGGACTCAAGCTTCAAAAATATCCAGCCTGTCATAAATATGTGACGTTATAGTTAGGATGTTAAATCAGGATCCGGTGGATTCCTTGTTTACTAGTATATCGTCCTCTGAGACGTTCCTTGTCTTTCAATCTGTTCATTTGCCCATTTTGTTTGAAAAAAGGGTACAGAAAAGGAAAGCAAAGTAGTCAGTTGACAAATTAGGAAAAGGAGGACAAGTATAACGCAACCCCTAGGTGCTATTTGGAGTAGATTCAGTGTTTAAAGGTAGAAGACTTGCTGTAAATAGTTGTGAACTAGGATTTATGCTTCATTCGGGCCAGAGAACAGAAGTATATTCATACACACTCAGATAAAGTGAACATTGAGCGCACTTTGGCTTTGGCATGTCTAATCATACCGTGTTGGTGAGATTTCGAAGGTACTATTTTATATCTGAAAGCGATATTTGTTCTCCTGAATGCCAAATTTTGTTAGGTCTTCCTTCGTGACCAACCCAACAGCTTGTGAAACGTCCCTTGCCTTCGGTTTACATCCATATCGGCACCAAACTATTAGCAGAAGCAGGCTTTTCAACGTTTGATAGGAAGTTAAATTTGGTTGATTTTTTTATTTATCACACTTTGACTTCATCCTACTATCATACCTGCTCTTAGTGCGACATTTCCTTGTCATCCTTAGACGAAATGGAGTACTCGGTTATTAACTTATACGGTAATTAATCAGAGCCGCAGTTTTGCTAGTAGTCGCCTACCTTACTGAGCGTTCTTCAAGATAACTTTACTGCTGGACCTGTAATCTGTTTTGAACAATCACTAATATATTCTTACGAGGATTTTTTTTTTCATACCCCATCGTAACTACGCTTAGGAATTTGGAGAACAAGTCCACTGTTTCAGTAACACAATTCTTCCTCTATGAAAGGTCAAACCTCAAGCGATCTTAACTCATCCCTAACCTTGTGAAAGTAGATGTAAAACAAGTTGGATTTCGCGTGTTTAAAAGGTGGGTCCTTTGTTTGAATCATTGCAACTGTGCCATGTATCAGGTGACTCAAAAACCACTTCGTGTGGGTTTTGGTACAACCCGTTGAAGTGGCTTTGTAATGCACAGGGACTTGTAAACTTGGTTCAATTGGTTATCTTCTTGTAGATATGGCATAATACTCTTTATCCCACTCTACCCTAATTTCTCCCCATTCTGAACCCACTGTCACGGCATAAAATGTTGATTGAACCTGATGGACAGGCTTTGGGGGTGTCTACTCTGCGAGTCGGGTTAAACTCGGTTGAAAAGCTGGGGAAGCTTCCGATCGGATTTGCTGTGTTAGCAGAATGTACCGTTTAGTAAAAGACAGATAACGAAAATAATTTAAGACTGTCCTCTATTCTTGTTTATGAGGAATTGGAGTATCACAATTACTTGTGCTAGTTTGTACTTAGCGTGTGAAGAAGAAAACTTCCACTAGTGTAATCCTTAATGCCCACATCAGGCAACTGACAGATGGCAGGCAATGGGCCTGAGAGAATAATAATTTGGTGTGCGTTATAAAAACCTGAAGTAGCATGCATACTTCTTTAATGGCGATTAAGTGGACAAAAATACCATTTATAATCTCAAAATGACCCACGCTTTACTACGAACACACATTCTTGAGGAATGCATTGCTTTATTTACACGAGACCGTGCTTTCTTTGTGAGGACAATCTCAAACACGGTTGTTCACTTATTAAAAGCTAGATAATTGCAGGTGAGGTCTACCTACCTGATATGGCATAACTCTAAGGTAGCCAAGAAAACCTTCACCTTAGAAACAGCCAAGTCTAAAAAATCGGTAGGCAGAAAGTCCTATTATTACTCTCATAAGACTGCACAAGAACTCCCTAACTTTTCAAAACTAACCCATGGGAAGATTAGCAATTCAGAATGAGGAAGGGATACGGTCTCATCCTTGTTGTTTGTGTTCTCATAGCGCTATTTCAAGTTATTATCACCTTTTCTTGACATTAAACAGTTCCATGTGAAGTAGAAGAGACAGTAGGGAGGCACAAATTAAGATAGATGTAGACGTGATGGGAGCTAGATTCGCGGCCACAGATATATTAATAATGGGAATTTTCTGTCATAAAACGGATCCCTACAGCTGGATTGAAAGATCGGACATCCTTTTCACTTCCAAGCTACCAGCGTTTACGTGATAGCATACAGAATGGGTGGAAGTCCGTCCAAGGGATATCAAGTGGTGTAGCGCCCCGAGACATCAATTTGGAAAATGCTTAGTACTTACTACAGACGACATTAATATTACTGTAGAAATCTTTGAAGCTTGGAGAGTCTGCGTAGTTGCATAGTCCCTCTCCTTTTCCATCATAGCCTTGAATGTCTATCCGTAGCGCTTTCTCTGTAGGCTATGGGAATATAAACGACGACTTAAAATCACGCTGGACAGGAGCGGACGCAATTTGGGCGATTGACAACATCTGGAATGTCTTCAACTTTTGTTATGCGTCTCCTAGGAATTAGCCACCCACAGCAAAGGACGTCTTCCTTCCGTGACATTTAACCTTACTGTTGAGTCACTCAAACTGGACTTACTTTACTGTTATCACTAATGCAGTGGTTTGGATCATCCTTAGAGGTGGAGAAGGGCGGTTTTTACTGTATCAATATAGTGGTCTAACCTAAAAGGCTGAAGCGTCCGTGCTGTTGAATAAACATCATGAATAAATTTCACCTTGTTACAACGATTTTTAGCCAAAAGATAGGGGAATTTTAGCGATCCGTCGGAAGACTAGCCAGCCTCCTATCTTTTCCCTCCAATTTCAGCGATCAAGGGAGCAGTTAGCTCCTCCAGAAACTCTCCTATCTCAAACCTCCACCACTCACACCGTGTCTGAGCTAAAAGGCGCCCTCTCCACCGCTCTTGCTCGAAATGCGCGTCTACTGGAGCAGCGTCGCACACAAACCACTCAGTACCTCCAACTTCAGCGTCAAGCCGACTCTCTTAGCGCGGAACTGGATGCCTCTGTAGACAATCTTCGCCACCAGCGTTCTCGTTGGGAGGCGGAGAAGCTTAGATCCTCTCTAGAAGCTCGGGAACTTCGTCAACAACTTGCAGAAGCTCTTGCAGCTCTCCAAACTACTTCACATTGCCCGCCCAACAGTTCCACTCCTGTTCATCAAGGTGGCTTTGCTTTTTTGATAGACTTAATACTTATAAATGTGGAATAACACTTAATGTACTACTGCAGTTAAGGGAGGGCAAAGTGAAGGTTGTACTCTATGCGAGCAGCGAAATTTAGAGGTGTCCGCGCTGCGAATCGCGGTGGAACGGCTAGAGGGGGAGATGGCACGTCAGCGGCGCGGAGCGGAGCAAGAAGCAGCTCAGTGGGCAGTGCAATTAGCGGACGCAGCAGCGGAGAATCGGTCACTTCGACTCCAGCTCTCTCGCTCCGGCAACACCTTCTTTTTGAATTCTGCCTCCTTTACCGGTGAAAGCGAGGTGGAAGATAGTTGTATCAACTGTCGGCGATTACAACAGTTGGTAGATGTGTTGCAGGCAAAGGGGGGCGCTGGTGGGGTGATGCCCCAGCCCGATGTTATCCCCGTTTCTTGTGAAGAGCGTGTCGGAGTGTGCGAGGGTGCAACGCAGACGGAATCCATAGATGGTGTGTCTGTTGTCTTTTCATCTCTTGATTTATTCGATCATTTTTGTTTTATAATTCCTAACTCCTCTCTTTTACAGCAAATTATCCTTTCAAAAACGAAGAGAAAGATACCAGCCTCTTCGAGCTCCTTGAATCGGGTGGTCGAATCAATGGCTTGACTGCAGCTTACCCCAAAAAACAACTGGGGGACACCTTGGGACCTCAACAAGGGTGTAAATCACCTTCGCCACCACCTCCACCTACTCCCTCTCACTCCGGTGACGCTTCTTTAGACGTCTCTCGCCTTTTGGAGCGTCTACATGTGCTAGAAGCCGAGGTTGAGTCCTCCGCAGATCAATTGAAAGCAAGTAATGACGAGTTCCTCCAATTAAGGGAACGTCTAACTAGTGCTACTGTGGAGAAGGCGCATCTCAAAGCCACTCTTGATGGACTAGATGATCAGGTGATTCAACTGGAGGCGGCGCTGTTCGAGAGGACGGAGGAGCTACGAAAATGTCAGGCTGAGCTATCTCACTATCAGAACCCCCAATCGTGTGTCCTAAGGCTGCAGGAGTAAGTCGTTTCTGACTGTAGTCCATTCTCTCTCCCTCTCGCCTACTAGAATCAACTCGTCTTTCATTTTTTCAACTTTTAGTGACTTTGAAGCGTTGGCTAGGAGTCCCCCACGGACCGTGCTGCGTCAGACCTCTTCCCAGTTCAAGAAAGTTGTACTATCTTACGTGGCTATGGCTGCAATCTACCTCAATAGACCGCTAGTTGCCAAAATGCGTGAGTGTACAAACGAGTGTGTGAAATAATGAGTTCCTTCCTTAACCAGAGTATTCAGTAAAGGGAATCTCATTCCCTCCTTGATTGTCATTTAGAAGTGCTTCTCATTTCTCCGTTTTAAGATGAAAAGGATTTACTTGGGTACTCCTTATGGGTCATGAATTTAGTCGTGCTTGAGACACCGTTCCTTAGCAGTGCATAGGAAGCCTAGGTTTTCCGCAACTCAGTTCCAGTGTTTGGAACTGTAGTCGAGTAGACGCCTGAACCACTTCAACCGTCACACTGGTGCAGTCAACTTCAAATTCGGCCCATGAAGACTAACTTCTGCTCTCGACATCCATGCCTGTTCGATAGCCAATGTATGACAGAAGGTTGTTTGCTCTTTGGTGTCATTTTGGGCGACTTTTTTGCTGCCGCCTTCAATTTTGTGTAACAGACTGCGTGACTAGCTGGTTTGCCTGGCGATGTCACTCCTGAAGACCCAAGACACGATTAATTTATATCCCTCCTCCTCCACTTTCACTGTTTCCAATGCACAGATGAACGTAGAAACCTGATTTTTGGCATCACCTCAAGAAGCTTAATTTCCATCTCACTTTTTTGCGTGCATCCTAGGTCACGCTTGCAGCGCGATGAATGCACGCGTTGTCAAGGCAATTGACTATCGACTGGTGGGATCGCGGGGGCCCCGTGTGGTGCTCTTCCTCGTCCTCCTCATTTACCTCGCCTTCCTTCACTTCCTTCTTGCCAATTGCCTTCTCCAATGAAACGGACGGAAGTAAAGCACGCACACACGCACAAAAGGCGGCGGTGGTGGTAGTGGTTGTCTTTCATGTGTACACATTCACTCGTACATTTTATTTGTGTAAATTGGGTTTCTTCTCCTCACACCCATTGTTATTTATGATTATCGTGTTTAGAGCTATTTGATGAATTTTTGTTCCTCTTCTTTTTGCGACTGCGATAAGACCATGGATATGTGCAGACGTGGATGCGTATGCATGCATTCCGTGGCTTGCGTAACCTCCGTATTTGTGTGGACTCTTGGGGGAAGATACTAATTTTTCCCTGTTTGCGAACACAGTTCAAGGTCAACTTTTGCTTTAAAAGGCTCGTCCAAAGGAGGAGTGGTGCAATAAAGCGGCTGTCTTCCCTCATCTTGCTCACAATGGAGTAGAGAGATTCGAGGCAACCGGTTCGTCACCTGACCTTTGCAAATTCACGCTAGAAGGTCATTTGACCCTAGATATGACCCGGACATCCGTATGTGTAGGAAGGCTGTTACAAGCATAACATAAACGGAATGCCATCACGTTAAGACTGGCGGCTGAGATCTACGGGAAGGGACCGAGTATTTGTATGTCGCGGAAGTGTAACCGATTCCATTGCAACCGTCTTCAGTTTACCACCTTGTACTCGCCATCGAGCTCCCCTCCACTGGGCGACATGGATCAAGTGAGGCTTCATTCTACCAACATGGAGGAAATGGGGGTTTGTTAGGTGACACTGGTCCAAAAAAAAATGTCCAAGTATTCATCCTCTCCCTCCACAAACTTTTTTCACTAGGTGCAAGATAGCCGCGAAGTCTGCTTTTACCAACACGTTGTCTCTACAGGCAGAAAATTGAGGGGCCTTGGCCACGTCCGTCTCTACCTCACTTGCCTCCAACTGTGACCGTCTGATGCCATCAAGGGGATGATAATCAGGAGAATTTTGTGCATGAGCCAGCACCTCCCTCCCGTTTAAAAGTACAGCACCTTCTCACGGATTGGTTATGAGGATGTGTCCTTTCTAGAGTTAGGAAAGGACAGGACCCTATTCAACGGCCATACAGATTGGGCGGCGAGCTTCTGCAGTTCTGGACGGCGTCAAATCGCATCAGACTCCGTCCTCTGAAACATGGTAGGCTCGTCTCAGCTCCAGTCGCTCAGCATAATTTGGTAGGGTTAAATCCGCCGACGCGGATGGAGATTGCAGATAATCTCCCAGCTAAAAGAGTATAAAAGCGGGACAAAACTTGGACGGTAGTCCTCCTCAAAAACCGGGAACTCGCTGAAACACCGTTTTCAACTTTTTCTTCGCTTACAAAGTAAAGAAGATTCCCCTCTTCGAAAATGTTGACAGACAGTTTAAACGGCGTGAATTACTGTCCGAAGCTTTCACACGACCTCGAAGTTTTTACATCATCACTAACTTTCGGTCAATAGTCCACTGACGTCCGATGAACAGGAGGGAGGACAGGATGTTTCCATACAAAAATCACGCCAAACTCCCCAACTTTGTGCATAAATGAAAAAGGCAGCGCAAATGCTGCTATTAATGACCTCATAAGTTAACGCTGGTGATTTTTTACTACACAACCACGTTCAATAGCTGGGGTGAGGGGACGGGACTCACCGCATCCAAAAATCGCAATAAACTATACAAATGTGACCTGAAGAGGCCTGTTTATTCGTGGGGCCACGAGTCATGAGTCGGAGAGTTCACATCCGATGACACTCAGGATCCATTGGATTGGCTCATTTTCTTTCCATTCATCGCACCCCATCCTCGGCCTACCATGCAAACAACAACAACAGCAAAGCGTAATTAAGCAGTCCGTATATTCACGCCAAAAAGAATGGGGAAGTAAAAACAAAAGCGAGACCAGATAAAAGTGAATCAGCGATGACTATTCCATTTTCTCACTGCAGAGAAGACTAGGCGAGAAAAGGGTCATTTTGGACGGGTCAATCCAGGAGTAGCCTCGCGAACCAACATCACTACAGCAAGGACAGTTCTTGAAAGGCTGTGTGGAAGATAGAAAGGGAGAAGATGAGTTCCTTTAAATGAAGTA